AACATAACTGATGTCGTACACACTCTTCAGTGTGAAATGTGGCTCTCTTTGCAAGCACATCTAACATCTAAGGAAAGAAGAGCTTAGATTGGTACCAGATAAAATAATTTTGTTATCAACATTAATACATTATGCTAATTTTCATCTTTGTAAGCGCATAAGACAGTGCTAATTATTTCTGTGACAGTCTTTTGAAGTTTGTAACGCCCCGTTTTATCCCATACATAGTCAAAATATTGGGGGTGGGGGGTGATACAATGGACCATCCCCTCCTTGTCAAATATTGGGGGGGATATATCCCCCATCCCCCGGGATCTACGCCTATGAGTAAAATAAATCCCTACATATTGGACATAGGCCTAGGCCTACACATAGCCTAGATGTGCAACGTGTCACTTTCAACCACGTGGTGTGTCGGACTCATTTTCGCTGCGTATTTCAACATACTATTAAAACGTAAATGCTATGTAAAACTATAGCACAATGTAAATAAAACATTAAATTTAAACGTAAAAGAAATAAAGTGGGTCTATTATAGTACACAATGAAAAAAAGCCCATATTATTGGGCATTGGGCTAAATTTTTTAACATAAATGTAAATGTTATATGAGTTACCAGCTGCTATTTTCGGGCATAGAGGTGCAATATTTTAAAACTTTGCTCACCTCAGCTCCAACCAAAGGTGGGGTTGAGGTGGGATAGATTTTATCCCCAAGCTAACTTTAAATCTTGTGGCTGCTGTTGAGGGAAGGTGGGGGGCAGCGGCTCTACATGTTGCATGCACATATTTCCGGGCATCAGGTGCCAAAAAAGGTCACCAACCACCGTTGGATTCAGGGGCCGAGTCGGAGAAAAAAATGAAAGTGCCATTTCCGGCCATCTAGAGTGTCATATTCATTAAAATAATGGTTTTGGTTGGGGCTGAGGTAGTCTACACACCCTTCATTTATTTTGTGAAACGGGTTGCCATTACGTTTCAATGATATTTACTATGTTTATATAAATTTAGACTTGATAAATATATTAATGAAAATAATATCGTAACTCATGCAGCAACTCATGCAGCGATGAAATATAACTGCATACATTTTATATAAACGTGTGATTTCAATTAAATATTCTATTCAACCACATTTACCCTTACCTTTTTAGGCCTTTCCAATTGACTGTGACTAGAGGCTTACAATGAAGCAATACATATAGACTGTTCAGTTTTTTTTTCTATCAATTTATTTATGACCTTTGAACGAGTAGTGCCAAAGTGCGAGCCAGCGGGTCATGCGAGCCAATGTGCGAGCCATGCGAGCCATGCGAGCCATACATTTAATTTTTTTTTTTTTTTTTTTTTTTTTTTTTTCAGGTTATCCAGTTTTGCGAACACGTAGGCCTAGCCTATATTCTTTGGCCTAGTAGATGCAAATGAATAACACACCGGGGAGCTTTGCCTGTGTAGTCCAGTCATGTGCAGTACATATACTTTTGACTTTTTCGAATGTCGATCCGAAAGTATGCAGCGCTGGTAGATGTTGTTAAAATACAGATGTACAGATACATACATACAGATATATTTATATATAAAAACGGTTGAACGTGTTGCAAATATTATCAGCAGAGTGCTCGATGGTAATGAAACCAGAGCGAATTAAAGACAAAAAATGAGAGGTTCAACAGTAGCTTTGATTAGACATATTTATTACTATTTAGTTTTGTGCTACACATACATGGTATGTACATGTGTACACAGTACAGATATATTTATATATATACACTGTATTAATTTATATATTTATATATATATATATTATTTTATATATACTGTATTTATTTATATATTTTTATATTTATTTGTATATTTATATATATATATAATATATTTATTTGTATATTCATTTATATATATATGTATATATTTATTATATATTTATTTATATATTTATATGTTTATATATTTATTTATAGAATTATTTAAATTTTTTATATATTGTTTGTATATTTATTTGTGAATTTATATATATATATTATATATTAATATATATATATATTAATATGTTCATATATTTATATATATTTATTTGTATATTTATTTATATATATTAATATGTTCCTATATTTTTTTATATTTTTTATATTTTTATATATATGTTTATATATATATATTTATATATTTATTAATATAAAAATAAATATGTAAATACATAAATATATATAAATAAATATACAAATAAATATGTAAATGAATATATGAATAATTACAGTATATATATAATACAGAATACAGTATATATAAATAAATATATAGATATATATATATATATACAAATAAATATATTAATAAATATATTAATATTTATATGTATATATAAATATATATATGCATAAATATATATATATATAAATACAAATAACAAATATATATATATATATATGAACATATTAATATATATATAAATATATAAATATATATAAATAAATATACAAACAATATATAAAAGAATTTTAAAAATTATATAAATGAATATATAAACATATAAATATATATAAATACATATACAAATAAATATATAAATAAATATACAAAAAATTTACAAACAAATATATAAATGAATATATAAATAAATATATATATAAATATACAAATAAATATAAAAATATATAAATAAATATATAAATATATAGAGTATATATAAAATAATATATAGATAAATAAATATATAAATAAATACAATATTTATACATAAATATATCTGTATGTATGTATATGTATATCTGTATTTTAACAACATTTCTATCAGCGCTGCATATATACAAATAAATATATAAAAAAATATATGAACTTATTAATATATATATATATATATAAATATACAAATAAATATATATATATAAATATATAAATAAATATATGAACATATTAATATATATAAATATATATAAATAAATATACAAATAAATATACAAACAATATATACAAGAATTTAAAAAATTATATAAATGAATATATAAACATATAAACATATATAAATACATATACAAATAAATATATATAAATATACAAATAAATATAAAAATATATAAATAAATATATAAATATATACAGTATTATATAAA